CGCCAGCCTTCTTTCTGATTTTTTTTTTTTTTTTACTGTGTTTGAATATTGGAATGTGTTTTGTCTAGCAGATAGCAGCAATCCAAATACTGAACAAAAGGGCTCCTGGGACTCGGAGAACTTCTGGCTTGATCCTTCCGTGAAAGGCCCACTGGAGACCAAGGAAGAGGATAATGGAATTCGGAAATCCCTGGACAAATTCTATGAAGCATTCGGTCACCCAGTGCTGGGATCTGGGGACCGGCTCTCTGTATCTGTCTGCCAGTGCCTGTCTCAGAAAATCACTGAACTCAGGCACCAGGAGAGCCAAAAGTATGCTCGCCTCAGTTTTCAGATGGCCAGGGTCATCTTCAGTCGTGATGGCTGCTCTGTTTTACGAAGGCGTTCCAGGAACACCTGCTTCTACCCTCTGGAGCAAGGAGGCAGCTCTGTGGAAAATGAAAAGCTGACCCCAGGACTTTCAAGAGAGATTATTCATTTCCTCTTGCAGCAGCCAGTGATGAAAGACTTCTAACTGGTGCTGGAGGTGAGAGCAGGCAGTGTGGGATGGGAAGTGCTGTTACCTGCCCCTCAGTCCCTGGGAGTCTCCTGGCAGCTGTTTGTGCTCAGCTCAAAGCTGCATGCTTTGCAGAGAGAGGTTTGAACCTGCGACTTGTTCCTGGAACCAGTCTGCCCTCAGGGCTGTGGCCACTCCACCTCCCATACCCCACGATTCACCTTGATCAAGGCTGCTACTGACCAGAGGGTTAGGAGTCCAGCCCAGCTTCCTTTCCTACATCTGTGCTCTGGGGCTCTCTCCTGGGGACCAGGCCAAGGCTGGGACTTGGCAGGAAATTGTTTCCTTGTTCAGTTTCCTCCCTTCCCCCTCCTCCTCCTCCCCCTCACCTCCTGGTGTCTCTGGGGCCTTTCCTTAATAAATCTCTTATATCTGCATCCTTGAGTCAGTCTACTCCTGGGAGAACAAGCCTAAGCCTTCTGGGAGATGAGTGTTTTGAGGATATAAAGCTGAATTAAGGAAAATTATACAGAGTTGTAAATGGAGACCATGTGATTGAAAACATAGGTCCTAAAATAATGTAAAGATTTAAATACAGCCCCAAACAGTACATCATACCTTAATCATACCTTTGGCTCCTCTCCAAAGCTAGAATTCTCTGTTATATTCACAGTGGGGAAGGAACATTTGGACCATCTACAACAGCTAATCTTCACACGTGTAGGGTTTCGTCATCTCCACTAGACCACAGTGTGAAAGAGGGAGAGAACAAGCTGCACACCCAGGGTATGCAATCATAACCCCACCCTGCCAGGCAGCAGCATGCGGCCTTGGCAGTTTGTGCTTGAACAGAATAAGGAATGCTTTGCCCAGGAAGGGTCTTCCCACCCCTTGTCACTTGTGTTCTCTATCTACGGCCAGCCCGCTGTCATCCTTCATCCTCTTCACCCTGCCTGCCCTTGCCTCCAACGTGAGTTCCAGTGCCAGTGCTTGCCCAGAGCAGGCTTTTGCTGCCACCTGCCCTGTCCTCCAGGCGGGTGCCTGGCCTTGCCAGCGAACTCTTTAAATAGCCGGTACAGGTTTGCACTGGCAGATGCTCCACCCTGCAGGCTGTATCCTGAACCCCAGTTTGAGAATTACATCACCAGCCACCAGGTGCTCTGAAACAGTAACTGGACACCTCACATGATTCTTCAAGCGAATCACATCGGTAGAAACAGTTCTGTCACTTGTTTGGAGGGTTAGGGAAAGCTGGCAACACTGTGCAATTAGATTCTGAGAAACTCCAGGTGAAGTTTAATTGACATAACACTCCAAAAGCTTTCCAGAAAGTGGATTATGCAAACGGGGAGCCTTCAAGTGCACATTAGGTCAGTGCACATCTCAGCAAGGCCTCCTGGTGACTCTTGGATGAGAGAAAAGTCTTGAAGGAAGCAGTAACACACTCAGACTTCCAGTTTCAGAGGTCAGAGGTAAGAAACTTCTACAGCGAAAGGTCCAGGCACCTGTGGAAGGGGTCCCACGTGGCAGGAAATGAGGGACAGCGGACCTGCAGAGGTACTGGAAAATACAGCTCCAGCTTCCTCTGGAGCAGTCATCTGCCTCTCTTTGCTAGCCAATCGTCCATCAAATGATCTCGAAACTGATAGGATTTCAGATCCAGAGCCTGCAAGTGAAATTTTGAAGGGTGCTAGCTTTATTGATTTTAATGTGAAGCACATTAGTAGACACCGTGAAGAATGTTGTCCCTTAGGGTTATTCCACCACTGAAATAGTTGCCGTTAGTCTCCATGGCTACCGACAGAGGGAATCCAGGTTATTCTAGACTCATTTTAAAAGAACAAATGCAGCTGGGTATGGTGGCTTACGTCTTTAATCCCATCACTTGGGAGGCAGAGGTAGATGGATCTCTAAGTTCAAGGCCAGCCTGGTCTACATAGTGAGTTCCAGGCCAGCTGGGGCTACAGGGAGACCCTATTTCCAAAAAAAAGACAAATGCAAGCTATTTGAATATTTATATCGGAAGTAGCAGCTTCTATTTTGAAGGGAGATTTTACTATCAGAAAATGTCTCAACTTCTCTGCTCTCAGTACCGAAGGTGCGGAGCAATAGGTAGATTAGAAAGCTGACTGACAACTCAGAGCCAGAGTTACCTTGGGCTACAGTGGAGTGTGGTGTGTTTACTTGCATCTGAGTAAGTGTTTGTGACAGGTCAGTACAAGATATTTGATTCTCAGCGATCCTGCCCCTTAATTTGATCTCTGTAAGGATAGGATAGCATTTTCCATTTATCTCTGTGAACCTTTAAAGACGTAAGATAAGGACTCGCAGCCCTGGCCTTTGGCGGCATTTCTGTTTCAGCACTGCAAATAAGTCTTATCATCTCATGAACCTTGTAAGTGGACTGTGATATCATCTGTGGCCTTTTGCAGAACCGCAGGGCCTTTGTGAGAGTACATTTGTTTGCGGAAACATCAGACCCTGTTTCTTTGCATGACTTGTCCTCTGGCTTGACCCCAGGACCTTGCACTCTTCTACTAAGTACAGGCCAGCCTTTTCTACTATCCATTTTAGGGTATATGTATCAAATCCTACTACAGTAATGAACACAAAAACAATACAGCAACTCTCTTAACGCTTGTAAAGGGTTTTTGTTGTTTTTTTGTTGTTTTTTTTAACACCACATTGGACATATAATTACATGTACAAGTACTTACATCATATAAGTCAACATCTCACTATCACTGATCTTCGCTAATGGGACCCACCTGCACAACCAGCGTCCACCCTGAGCTACAGGTGTCCTAGCCAGCCCAGTGGCACCTTCCCCATGGAGAGCTTGGTCTGCAGCACTGATGAGAACAGTTTGCTAGCCAGTTCTCTCAAGGTGCTGGCAGCACACAAAATGGGCACACACATGGACAGTGTTTGTTTTAATTGCTAATCTATTAAATTCAATATGCTAGGAAAGTATTATATCTAATTTATACTTTTACATACTGTGTGGGTGAGATATATATATATATGTGTGTGTGTGTGTGTTTTTGAGACAGGGTCTCCCTGTAGTCCCAGCTGACCTGAACTCACTATGTAGACCAGGCTGGCCTTGAACTCACAATGATCTGCCTGCCTCTGCCTCCCGAGTGCTGGGATTAAAGGCATGCACCACCACGCCCAGCTGGAGCTTTATTTTAAAACGTAAAAGTAAAAAATTAATAATAGAGGTGACATACAGTACAGATGCATCAAAAAGTATAAATGTGGTGCCTCAAAATGACTGAAGCTGAGGATGCTGTGGAAAAGACGGGCCATTCTACCCTGTAGTTGCTTACAGTCCCTCCCATGGAATAGTGCTGAAAACTTCCATGGGTTAGCTGGTATCTCTTTGCCTTTTTTTACTCTGAAGCCCTAGTCAAAAGTCTTTAAAAAAAAAAAAAGTATGCATGAATGGTCAGAAAAATTAAAAGATTAGCCTTTCTGGGTGTGGTAGCACGTGCCTTTAATCCCAGTACCCAGGAGGCAGAGGCAGGCAGATCTGAGATGGAGGCCAACCTGGTCTACATAGTGAGTTCCAGGCCAGCTGGAGCTACAGTGAGACCCTATCTCAAAAAATAAAACAATGCCAGGCAAGGTAATGCATGCTTTTAATCCCAGCACTCAGGAGGCAGAGGCAGAGGCAGGTGGATCTGTGTAAGATCAAGGCTAGTCTGGTCTACATAGTGAATTCCAGGCCAGCTGGGGCTACAGGAGACCCTGTCTCAAAAAGACCAACCAGCCAACCTACTAACCAACAAACAAAAACAAAACAAAAAAGACTAGCCTTATCAAATAGAACTTTTTTGTTTTTAAAAAAATTTATTATTTTTAATTTATGTGTATAAGTGTATTGCCTGCATGTATATAAGTGCATCCATGTCATGCAACGCCCACAGAGATCAGAAGAGGGCCCTGGATCCCCTGGAACTTGAGTTACAGTTACCGATGGTGGTTAGCCGCCATGTGGGTGCTAGGAACGGAACCTCGGTCCTCTGTAAAAGCAGCCACTGCTCTTTATTGCTGAGCCATCTCTCCAGCCTCTTTGGTTGTTTTGGGTTTTTTGTTTTTGTTTTCAGATAGAATCTAACACAGTGAGGGCCTAGTCTGCCTCAGACTCACAGAGATCTGCCTACCTTTGCCTCCCAAGTGCTAGGATTAAAGGCATGTACCACCATACCCAGCCTCAAATAGAAGAACATTTCTAAGTCTAGTGATTGAAGCAGCAACAACGTAGAAATAGATACATCAAAGGAAAAGAGTTTGGTCCTCAAATACATATAAATAGATGTGGAAATTAAATATATGATCAAGGTGGCATTTCAAATCAGATAGGGCTGGGAATGTAGTTTGGTGGTATATCATTTACTCAGCATGCATGAGGTCCTGTGTTCATCCTTACTAGCACAGGAAAAAAAAAAAAAAAGAAGCCAGGAAAATCAA